GGTTAAATTGTCCATGTTTTGATCTTGGATTATTAATATTGAATTTTCTTTTTCTGACCAGGACTGTAAGAGGATGATTTATACCTCTAACAGTGATTTATTTAGTTTAAAGCACATATTATTATTGGTCTTTTATATGTTTAAGGGGAGAGATCTTTTAGATTTCACTTCTCAGAAAAAACTTAGAAGCTAAAATGCAAAATTGACCTATCTGTTTAAGCTTAAAATATACTGGCACTCTTAATCCTTTTGCTAATTAGATTGATTGTTGAATATTTTTTATAATTCCATTATTATTTAGGGATGAGAAAGGGGATAAAGAGGGTTTTGGGTTTTTTAGTAATAATAGAGAAGGTGTTAAGTTACTGTTAATACATATACTTGTTTGGAGGGAGGGGGAAGTCATCTTTTACAATTCTTTCTTTCTCTTTTCTCTTTCTTTTTCTTTGTAGGTTTTTTTAGTTTTGTATTAGTTTTTATATATATAAACTTTAATAACAATATTTTAAAAAAAGATAATCAGGAGAGGTCCTGCTGTGTGTGATGAGAACCACAGAATGCCATCTTGCAGTCATTTCTGGACAGGCTTTTCTTGCAGGTGGTGATTACATTTTGAAATATTCTCTTTTTTAAGTTTGCGAGGTGCCTGCTGATACATCTTTCAGGTGCCTGATAAAGATCTTTCTCTTCAACCAGGATTTTCAATGTTAGATGAATGGCTGTTGTTCTGGATTTATTATTAAATGTAAACAGCGTCTTGATCTTATAGTTTTTCAGAGAGAACAGCAAAAAACATGGATTTTGAATTTTAAGCAAAACAGTTTCTGCACTGTTTTTGTATCTTGAAATACAGATCAGCATTAAAAACATTAGTAGTTCTAACATTTAATAATATATTGCATACTTCAAAGATAAGTATTTTGAACATCATACCTATAGAATTCTTCTTTTCCTGCCTTTCCCTCATCATTAGGAATGATATATCCCCCATCAGCCAATTGTATTCCATGGTTTTCTAGAAAATATTTTCTACTGAAAAAATCCTGGATGAGAAATTGAAAATCTTCTGCATTTGTACTACAAATTTTTATGCACTGCTTGGAAACTCCAAAAGCATACAGCTGCAAGGATAAAAGACAGGTAGAATATTTTAGTGTTATTAAATGCATATATGCTCAATATATATTACTAACAAAATCATACTTCTCAGCATATTTTTCAAAACCAGGAATTCTAAGGCAAATAAATTCTAAGTACTTAGGATCTGTAGTACCATAATATTGCCTCTTTAGAGACAGAATGTTATAACTGTTTGGCTGCTTTACAGTCATGTTAAAAAGGCAAAATACAAAATAATCAGAAAGCAAAAACACAAAATAATCAGAAAGCAAAAATACAACATAATCAGACCCTTGGAATTAGGTAGTTTTGACTTTTGTGTATGTTCTCTTGGAGAATTTAAATTTTTGCATCTCAGAAACCTAATGGTAGTCATTCTCATGTTATGAAGGAGTAGAAAATGACTAAAATTCCATCTCAGGTTCAGGCATTATGTTGATGGGTAAATAGTACTGAAGTATTCATTTACTTTATTGCTTAGAACATGGTCCTATTCATATATGATAAATTATGTATTATTCATATAGCAACAAACTGCAGCCAACCTTGGTTCATTCATTCTCCCTTCTGTTTCTCTGCCAAGACTGGGAAGAGGAGAAGGAATTTAGAAACTTTTATTCAAGTTCAGAATAATTGAAGTCAACAGTTAAATCTGAATCAGGACAAAATTGTAGTTAATATTAGTTGAAATTACCCATGTTCAGAACAAAATATATGATGATCTCTTATTTCCATTAACAATAATTAATCCAGATTAATCAAAATTAGAAGCAAAAACTAATCTCCTCAGGACTGGGGACAGAAAAGAAAGGAAAACAAATATACAAATCTGAAGCTTAGGCATGTGACATTAAATAGTAATTTAACACTATGTCAAAACCAGGCCAGTATGTACTGGATATGTTAGAACTGCCCAAAGATAGTGAAGAAGTAAGAGAGAGGGAGAAAGAACGATGGGGATGGGGTAATTGGGTACATGCATATATACGTTTTTGTTTCAAAAACATATAAAAAGTAGGGAATAGAAAAATGCTAATCCGAGATTAAGGGGAAAAAATAATGGAAAGGTGTAACATTCTATGTATAAGAATGGTGCCAAAGATACCATAATGCACTAAAAAAATTGACAATAAACAATTATATTGTTGGAACTTGGTATATCATTCTAAAATACCTCTAGTCCTATAAAGGTTTTAAGTATGAGAAATAAGCTGCATGCAGTTTTGTTATACATTACTGCTTAATTACAATTGCAGTTGCAATTACAATTATAATTCAAGTACAAAGCACATAATCCACTAATTTAGCTTTCGTGAGGAGCATTTATAGATGAACTATAAAAATCCATAGAAATCTGTATGATGTGTTTTTGTATTATCACTAAATCTGACCTATTTTATCTTTGCTCTACCACCATCACTAAAATTAGTATCTTTGCTTACAAAGAATCAGAAATATACCCAGAGAGTCATCAGTAATTAATCTATACCTACCAAATATGGCAGTTAATTAAGAAATTAATTAATTAATCAATGGTTATAATTAGATACTGTATGAATAGTTATGTAAAAGTTTTGTTCTTCCCTTTTTGTGCAAACAAGCAATCAGACTAGAAAGCTTCCTATTAACCGGACTGGACAAAATGAGAAAGTTTGATCATCAGCTTCGGCACACAACAACCTACTACAGTATATCAGCTTTAAACCATGGAAGAGCTTGTTTGCGTTTCCTAAAACAGGATACCAGAGTTTCCAGTCAAGATGAAGTGGAAAACTTTGGTTAATAGATTTAATTTCTTAGATTCCAAAGAGATGGTATCTGCACAGGCAAGATCGTTTCTTATACTAAACCTCTTAAGTCATACTGTGTAGTTACCTGTTCACTGGAATAAAAGTCAGGCAATTTCTCTTTGACTGCAATTTTTAAAGGAGTTCTGCAAAGACCAGAAGACATTCTTACAAGGTACAGGCTGCCTGGTTGTGGATGAATTATTTGCTCTTGTTTCTTTGCAATTCTCATTTGTTGTAGATTTCTGGCATACTGGAGATAGGTTATCATTTTTGTTACGTCTATCAAAAATATTAATCAAATTGTAAAGTTATTTTAACTTAAAACAGAAATTCCAAACTTACATAAGATAGTAACACTGAATTTCGATTAGTGTAGATCACAGGTGGGGGTGTTCTACTGAACTTACATTCAGTGTATGTAGTGAATATAAGTTCAGTAGGCTTCTCCTAGGTGTGTGATTGGCTACAGAAGAAACAAAATACTGGCCCATGTAGTAGTATTTAGTCTGATCCAATATCATTCCTCTTACATTTGTATGGATAATATAGCATTTCTAGATATTACCAACTCTAAGTGTTAATACAAATTAGGTCAGAACTAAAAATATTACAAGAGCACCCAAACCAAAAACTAATACATTTTTATAAACAATTACCACTGATATATTGCCCTTATTTCAGCATTAGCGCACCAACAAAATCAATGTTGTGAGTACAGGGTTTTAAAATGTGTAGCCTAGCCTAATAGCACAGTCTTCAAACATTCTGAACATCAATGTACTATATCTGTAATTTTTATTTGATTTATTGGAGTTACTTTTGCAACTATGCATAGAATTTATGTGTTTAAAAATTCATGGTGAAAAGATCCTTAATAATTCATGGGAGAAATTTCCTTGATTAGTGTTATAAAATTTCAAAAAAGTACATAAAATTTTAGATAACTGAACTTCTCTAGGCTACTGATGGCATTGTATAAAAATTAGGAAAAGGAAAAGGAAAAGGAAAGGTTATCAAATTATAAAGTTTTGTGAATTCTCTATCTGTAACTTCTGTGCAGTTCCGTACCTGGAAGGCTAATTGTTATTATGTAAATGGAGGATGTCCAATCAGATTATAGGCAGTATTCTTTCTATATTAACTTCTTAAATGGCATTTTTTGCCATGGCAGAGTTTTGCACAATAACTCAAGTCCTGGCAATAACTATTTATAGATAGGAAAAAATGAAATTGTTCAGGATTAAAGCACTGGTCTTGTTTTGTTTGTTTTTTTCCCCTCCCTTAATTTAGGTGCTTGATGCTTAAAATATTGAGTGGGGAGAAAAAAGGACCCCATATCTAATTTTTAAAAGCCTGCAACATAGAATATGTGGAACTGTACTGCTGATAAAGGAGTTTTTACAGAAATTGTTATGATCATAATAAACATTACAAACATGCCAAAATAAAAACTGGAATGAGGTATTCAACGTACCTTGAACAGTTTTACTACATTCTGAATCCAAAGCTGAAATTCGTGCACAATTATCTTTTTCTGATACGATGCTTTTGTTAATTTCTGTTGTGTTATATTCTTCCATTCTGCTGATACTTTTGCGACTGAACGAGGGATGTTCTTTGACATTACTTATTTCGTCTTCTGAAGTTCTTGATTTTATTTTGAAAGGGGGCACAAAGATCTTGGTAGTTTTTTTCACTGAATTATGATTTTGTATTTTCTTGTTTTCCTCAGTTAAGATTTTTCCAAACTGAGCCAATGATCTAATTGAAGACTGCTCTGAAAAACCACCAGATTTAGATCCTTTCCTAACTTGGTCTGGAATACTAAGATTTGGATTCAGTATTTCCTGCCGTTCATTTGTGGAACTGAAGAAATAAAAACATTTTCATAAGAATCTGAATGAAAAGGCTAATAATTCTTTTTTATGTTGCTTTTCTTTGACTAGAAAATACACACATATTAAGCTAATTGAACTATTATTAATATTGCATGCATACTCAATTTTACTAGTAGTTTAATTATCTTAATAATTACTAATAATCTGGTAGTTTCCCATTTCCAGAATATTGTAACAAATATTATCTAATGCAATTTTTAACATAAAATGAAAACCAAAAATATTTGGCTACCTTATTTATATTTTTTTTCTGGCTTCATTATATGTTTTTGATGGCTTACAAATTACCAATTATATAATTTGAATAAAATCCAGTAAATCAAACCAAACTATACCTCCTTGAACACTTTTTCTTAATATTGGTTTTGCTACTGTTATCCAGAAAATTCAGTCTAGTCAGCTAAAGTTTCTCCAAAAACTCACAACCACCATGTATTCTACTTTGGACAAAGTGTAAAGAATTTATGTTAAGGAAAAATTAAAGTCAGCTAAATTGAAATTATAGTCTACTCTTACCTAAATGAGCCACAGATTGCTGGTTTTAAAGATATCTTGTTGAATAATTTTTTTCTGTCATTCATTGTACCTAAATAAAAACAAGTTCTATGAATCAAATGACATTTAAAAGAATAATGTATATTTCTATGTTTATGATAAAAAATATCAGTTTTACATCTGAGTTTAAAAAAAATTGTCTCATGAACATTTTCAGGAGAATTAGTTTTCTAAGTTTGATAAATGTTATTCAAATTAGTACAAACTGTAGTACAGACAGTCCTCTACTTATGAACAGGTTACATTCCAAGAGGCTGTTCATAAGTCCATTTTGTTCATAAGTCCAACCAAGTATAAAATGCTCAGCCTCCCAATGTGCAATGGTGCTGCCAAGCATATGTATGCAGTGCGCCGTAAACTAACCCATTCCCACCTTCCGGGACCTTTTAGGTTGGAGTAGTGGACAGGTTTGTTCGTATCAGTGAAAGTTCATAACTCAAAAGTTTGTAAGTAGAGGACTGTCTGTACAAATTAATCACCATTATGCCTGCAGCAAACAACAAGATATTAGGGTGTAGAATCGCTTTCCATCAGCTGCCACTTATTGAGAGAAGCTGTTAGCTGGGTGAAAACTGCTATTCTATCAGGATAGATGGAAAACAATTATGGACTGTTCTTCTGCAATCAAAAGCAAGATCCTTGGGGTCCCTAAGATATGTTACTCTATGACTGACTTAATGAAAAGAAAAAAAAAAAACTGCCCCGATTTCAGATGAGTGAAAGCAAGCAGAACTTGGGACCTGGTGGTTGTTTTGCCATCCTGCCCCTCCCTGGCAATTTTAAAATTAATCTGAAATACTGTTTGTATAACTACATTAAAGATTGTACCTACTGCTATGGGAATATGGCTTTTCTCAAAATTCTGGAATATAACTTGTTTTTAAATGCAAAGGACAGTCCAGCTACATTTGATCACCAGGGAGAAGAAAATGCCTCCTCCCTCATCTATACATGAAAAATTTTCATCTGCCAAAGCTCTGCTAAGCCTACAGGTAGTAAAGTTAAAACAATTACATTACATACAAGCCAAAAACCCGCACATTTGTATGATAGCTACACATTGATCAATCAGCAAAGACCGTCTGGAACAGCCAAGTTTTTACAAGCTTTTGCAAGGCCCTGAAAGTAGATCCCAGCCTTCCTCTGGGGAACAAATTATTTCCTAACTCCCAGAAAGAATGCTTGTTATCATGCTCATTTATTTATTTATTAATTTGTATGGCCACTCATCTTAGAGCACAACTCTGGGCAGCCCACAACAAAACTACAAAAACCATCAAATAGAAACTAACAAGTTTGAGGATCTCAGGGAAATCATAATTTGCTGAGATGGCTACATTGTCTTTAACACTGAAGATGCTCTCTTCTAGTCTTTTAAAACAGTAATTGATTTTTTAAAATTATGGAATGTTTTAATTTTTGTTTATGGTGTGCTTTTATTGTATTCCACCCAGAGCCATGTTCTGTGAGATGGGTGGCTATATAAATGTGAGGAAAAAAAACCCAGCACCTGAATCATACTCCCAGGATGCCCCAACAACCATCCATAGGTTCCCACCGCTCTACCCCAGTGTCTGGGTAAAAAGCCAGGCCTTCATAGTCTTCAAGAAGGCTAAAGGGTGGGGGCCTGCCAGATTGCTGGGGGGAGGGTGTTCCATAAGGTAGGGGCAGCCACAGAAAAGGTACACATCCTGAGTCTCACTAGATGGCAATACTTCAGGGAAGGGACCTGAGGTGTGCCTGTTCTATCCAATCTAGCATGACAGTAATAACCAGCACCTTGAATTGCACCTGGAATGAAACTGGGAGCCACTGCAGCTCATGTATCAGGGGTGTAATGTGAGTGAACCTAGGACGTGCAAATTACGCTGCACTTTCTCAAACGAGGAGACCTTCAGTGGGTGTTCTCTAGGAAAAGTGGCTTTAGATAACCACACTCCAAGGCTGTAAACATGCTAATCAGTACTTTGAATTACCATATATTTGTGTATAAACCCATCCACAGATAAGCTGAACGCAATTTTTTGGGTGCATTTTGGCATCTAAAATTCTTGGCTTATCTGCGAGTATATACAGTACATCTGGAAAAAAACTAGCAACCAATTCAATTTCTGTAGTAACAGTGTAATATGGCAATACTATTACTGCCTTACAGTATAACCACACTGATCACTCCATTTTGTACTAGCCGAAGTTTCTGAATGGTCTTCAAAGGTATTCCCATGTAAAGGGAATTGCAACAATCAAGCTGAGAAGTGACAAGAGCATAAATGCCCATATCAGCATATCCTGTGCCAGGTAAGAGAGTATGACCAGCCAGAGCTAGACAAAGACCTTTTTGCTTATGTCTTCCACCTGCTCTTCAATCAGAACGACCCCCAGATTGCATACCGTCTCTCTGGGAGACCACAATCCCACCAATATTAAAATTCCTAATGGAATAAGAAATAAGTGATTCAAAATAATATATTTTTAAATATTAGTGATCAGATGTCCTGATAACCACATTGCATTTATTACTGTAGATTAAAGAACATCCAATTATCAAGTATCAGCTCTAACCCCAAGCCTTGGGGGGTGGGGAGAGACTGTCCTACTTTTACGCAGGAGACTCTAACAGCTGTTAGAAGCAGTTCCCCACTGTTAATCAGATGTGAGATCTTGTGTGTGAAGTTGGGCTTTGGGGAATAGCTGCAATTGTACTGATTTCCCTATTGCATAGCAGTTTCCTTACCCAGCTGGTGATATTTTCCCAGACTTACGGAACTGGGAGACTTCAATCTGTTATTGCTCAGTGCAAATTTTGAGGTGGCTTGAGATTTCACAGCCACCATGACAACCATAAACCTGGGCCCAATTCACTCTAGAGGTCACACATTGGATCTGTTTTTTTTTAAATCTTAGGGCATTTGTGATGTGATCTGAAGGATATTAACTTCTGTCACCTGCTATAGTAAGATCACTCTCTGGTCAGCCTGGAGTTTTTTGGTACTGTTCCCCCCAGAATGGAGAGGGACTTCTGATTAGTCTGCCCCAGGTGCCTGATGGACTCATTTGGTTTTCAGAGAGCGTTTGGGATTTCTTAAGGTTCTGATGGATAGTTCAACTAAGGGTTTAGTCACCACTTGGAATGAGCAGGTGACAATAGCCATGATTCATCCCTTCACTTTTTACATTGTGGTCCCTGGCATGTCACCCAAAAAACAAGAAAAATAGGCAGGCACTATAAACCAAGAAGCAAGAAAAGGAAAGAAATGAAGTTCCAGTGAAGACAAGACGTGTGTACCTTTGAAATAACCCTTATAGACAGAAAAACAAAAATTACCATATGGAGAACTTCTTGAAGATTTGAAAGATGATCTACTGGATTTTTCTGATTGATCAAATTCAGGCAGCAGCTTTCTTTTAATAGGAGGTTCTCCTGAAAAAGGTATGTCATAGAACATTTTAAAAATGCATATTCAATAAACACAAATTTCTACCCAATATCTATATAACTGATTTATTAAATGATGGGTTTAAGTTCAGTAAGATGATGCTAGATTTCAAGCTCCAACTTTTCTAAAATAAGCATGGCATTTATGTAGGTAAGCAGTACTTTCTTTTGAAACCATCAGGATTATTTTACCAATTATTTTGGATTGATAACTGATGTATTCCTATACTAGACAGATACATTCAATACTACTTTTCAAAGTATTTGTAATTAAAATATTCACAGGTAAACCCAACCTCTAATTGAGCTCAGCTCCTGATGACTACACTGATACAACCATGCAAGTTTTTTCACAGCTGTACAGCAGGATTTGCTACTGTCTTTTTTAAGAATGTTTTTCAATTTCCCAGCCTGGCCTACAATCCTGGTGTTTGTCACCAGAAATTCCAGGCCTATAGGTCAGATTGGAAAATTAAAAAAACAAACAAACAGGAAGCAATAGTGATAAACAATTTCCATACTATTGCTAAAAATGGCATAGATGTAGTCACCAGAACCTGAATCATGGAGAACTTTCACAATTCTTCACAATGAACGTTTCTCATTATACTTTCAAGAAAAATGTAGAATGACTAAACAAAGAGGGTTTAGAGCTATTTGTAAGGGACAACTGGAGGAGAGAATAATACAATTGTCAACTCTTTTCTGTATATCCTTCCTCTCAAGGTGAGCCCTGTTAATGGGATAATAGCTGTAGAATATTTATAAGAATATTTACACGAGCAGCTTAAGTGCTCTATTCTTCACTAAAACCCATGCCAATGCTACACTGCCAACACTTGGCAACATAAACTTAAGACCATGTGTTTTTGAGATAAGATTTTTCCTCCCTGAAGTCAATAATTTTGTAGAACTTTAAACTGAGTTATTGACAGTGTACAGTGTTCAGCATCAAGTAAATGAGTTTTAAAATTGAAGAAAGCAAGTACCTACCAAATGTATTTTCTTTTTCCACATGTCTTTTCCCACTTCTTGTACGTAATAGATAATTATTAGCTTTCTCAGAACTCAAAATGGATTTTTGAATACTTTTTTGTACTTCTGAATCTGTGAAATCATCATCTTCCATGAAAGCTTTTGCACTTTCAGAAGCTTCTACTTCTGAGTAATTGTCTGGAGTTTGGGAATAATCAGGACAAAGAAAATCCAGATTTCTTTCTGTTGCATATTTAGTATTGATTCTGCTTTGGCATGGTTGGGTCATCTTCAAAGATTCAATTGCTTCTTTTGAACATGAAAAGCTTTTTTTGAATTCTGCTGGTTGCTTGTATTTCTCAGTATAAGTGATGCACATAGGTATTTCAATATTCAGTAAGGTTTTAGGAGTATCATTTTCATTCAGATTCTTTCTGGTTTTACATTTCTCCTTTGGTTTAGATGATGAATTAACTTCATGCTCTTGTTTAATTTTTGTAACAGGAGTTTTTATTGGAAAGTTATGAGCTTGCTTTAAACTTTCATCAAAGAAATCATTTGCACTGATATCATCAAATTCTTTAAAAAGTCCCATAGCATTTTGGAGAGCCTTCTGAGAAATCTGTATTTGCTTTCCACATGCTGTGTTAAAATCACAAGGAATGCTTGAATATACTTCTATTTTTGGATTTTTTTTCCTTTGAGATATGAGTAGTTTGTTTTCTCTGGGAGATACTTTTTTCCTGACAGAAGTTACTGTGTTATAATCATAACTGCAATCTGGAACAAAACTCTGATAACCTGACAAACCAGATTCAATTTCAGAAAAAAGTAGGCTTGCTTTCTTCAGTGATTCTTTAGATAACTGAACAGGCTTACCACTTGCTGTGCTAAAAAACCCACAGTTGTCGGTAGAAAAGTCTGATTTGCACGTCTCTTTGTTGGAAGTCCAAGTATCAGAACACATGGGCATTTCAATAAAGTCATCTGAAGTTTTACAATTTAATTCAGACACAGTTTCCATTGATTTGGGTACAGTACATGGTAATGTTTGACTTTCACAGAATTGTTTGGTTATAGGAAACAGGGATACAGCTGAATATTCTACTGGAATTTTCTCTACATTCAAGTAGCTAGAACTAATACAGTCACTACTTCCAAAAGCATCAGAGCTTCCAAAGATATTACCTTTATTTGTTTCAGACTGAGATTCTAAGTTACTGCAGTTTTTATGAAGAAACTGTTGGGAATTTTTTATTGCTTCCTGAGAAACTTTAACAGTTTTACCACTTGCTGTTTTGAAACTGAATGCAACTGGTCTAGCTTTCAGCTGTTTTGAAGTTGAGGTGTTTTCTTCACTAGTTGAGGATTTCTCTAAGATGCTAATGTCCAATAAACGCGAGCCACATTCTGGTGTCATCCAATTTTCATTCTTACAGATTTCCCCAGATATGTTGGAATGATTTTCTGCCTTAAAACCTGACTCAGATGCATTTATGTTCTTCACTGAATATACTTCATTACAGCTGTAACGATGATCTGAGTCAAAATTCTGATGACCTGATGAATCAGTTTCAACTTCAGAAAAAAGTAGTCTTGCTTTCTCCAGTGAATCTTTAGATAACTGAACAGGCTTACCACTTGCTGTGCTAAAAAACGTACATTTATTGGTAGAAAAATCTGAACTGCAGTTCCCTTTGGTGGGAACCCAGTTATTAGAACACTTGCCTGTTTCAAAATATTCATCTGAAGTTTCACAATTTGATCCAGACACAGTGTCCACTAACATAGGTACAGCACATGGTAATGTTTGGGCAGTTTTACATAATTCTTTGGTTATAGGAAACTGGGATACACCTGAATATCCCACTGGAATCTTCTCTACATTCAAGTAACCAGAAGTAATATATTCTCTAGTGCAAAAAGCATCAGAAGAACTTCCTAAAGTATTACATTTATTTGTTTCAGAGTGAGATTCCAAGTTACTGCAGTTTTTATGAAGAAATTGTTGGGCATTTTTTAATGCTTCCTGAGAAACTTCAACAGGTTTACCACTTGCTGTTTTGAAACTGAATGCAACTGGTCTAGCTTTCAGCTGTTTTGAAGTTGAGGCTTTCTCTTCATTAGCTGAATATTTCTCAAAGGTGCTAGTATCCAGTAAATGTAAGTCACATTTTGACGTCATCCAATTTTCATTTTTACATGTTTCTCCAAAAATACTGGTTTTTTTCTCTCCATTAAAACATGATTCAGATGCATTTAAATTCAAGGTCAGTCCTTTAATGGTTTCAAGATTTTCAGTCTTGAAACCATGTTTAATTGTGTTTGACACCACAGCCAAAGAATCTTCAAAATTATCATTAAAATGTCTGGCTTCTCTACATTTTTCAGCTCCTTCTCCAAATTTAAAATTCTTTTTAATTGAATTTTCAACACTAGGTTTTATAAGATTACTAATATTGTTCATATTTCCAAAACAGAGAGCTTCTTCTGAAAGAAGATGCTTTGCTTTAAGTAAAGATTTGTCAGTAAATGTAATTTGCTTACCACTAGCTGTAAGAAAACCACTAGTTTGCTTGTCCCTGTTTTCAGGGACATTTTCATGGTTGCATCCAAGATAGATTTCAGTCTGATTTAATTCTGTACTTTTTTTCGCAGAAATGATAGCTTCTTTATGTCCAGCATGTGTCTTTCCTCTACAGTATGACATGTTGTTTACCTCTTCCTGTATATCAGAGTCTATCAATAAATTAAGTCTCTTACTTTTTTCTGCAAATATGTTGCCATCAGCAACAGTGTGAATGCTCTGTAGAAAATAAATATTTTCTGGATTATTTACTTTTTCCTCTTGTTCTGAAATAAAGCCTTCTTTTCCACCTGCATCATTCAAAGTAGTGTTTTTTTCAGTTTTAGCAACTTCAACTAAACATGTTAGATCGGACAAAGTTTCTGGGCAATTATTGTTACACTGAGTTTTTCCACAATTTACAAAATGACGTATGGCTAAAACATTTTCATTTTTAGTGGATGACAATTCATTCTCTGATATGCGTACAGAATATTTTTGAATAATTTTCAAGTTAACTTCTGTGGTGCTAGTAATCTGGACAACACTATCTTTACGACAGTCTACATCTTTTGATTTATTTTCTGTATCTTCTTTCACAAAAGCAACTGTATCCTTTGTGCTACCTTGCATTATATATCCAGCATGTCCTTTTTTGGCTTTCTGAGGCCAATCAATATCTATTTCTTCCATAGGCATATACCAACTACTGCATTTGTTTGAACCATCACTTCTTATTTTGTAAGAGTTTAGTATTTCACCCATTCCATTTATATTGCTGCCTAATTCTGCACCTTTGTTTGTAATCTCATCTTTGTTCTTAGATGAACTATGATTTCCCAGATCAGACTGTGAAATCTGTGAGGGATCTGAAATAATGGGGACAAAACATTTATTTTCTGTTCTGTTTGACTTCAGCAATATAATCTGTTCATTGCTTTGTCTGTCAACCTTGCATTCCACAGTATCTATGTGCTTATAGGAAGACTGATTATCACCTGGATGCTTTTTCCCAAAGTCACCCACAAATCCTGTATCTTTCCAATCCTTAGAATTTAAATATTTTTTATCAAAGCATCTAGACTCACAAGTGTTATTGTACATCATAGTCTTGTGTTTTTTAAACTGAGTAAATTCAAATTGACTGTCTGTTTCTTCCAATATTTTAGAAAGTTCAGTAATTTCAGCTACTTGGCTTGCTGTTAAATTTTGTTTTTCTTCAGGTTGCCGACTTTTAAGTACATTTTGAAGAGACTTATTCCCATATTCAGGAAAAACAATTTTGGTATCATCTGAATGAAAAAAGTTTACCACAGAATCAGAAGCATGTAAAAAGTTACATGCATGTTTATTTCGTTCATTTTGTCTAACTGAAACAATCTCAATATTTTCCTGTTTTTTTTTATTTGAAATAGCACCCTTTCCTTCATTCTGAAAGTCTTCAGGAAGTTGATCTTCTATATCTTTGAACAGTAATTTGCCTTTTCTGATTTTGTCAGCAGATAGCACTACCTGTTTATCAGATGCAGTTCTAAAACCTTTGAAGTTCTGGGTTTTCCTATGACAAACACATCCTAACCATCTCCGCTTATTACCACGTGTATCTTCTTTTAAATTTAATAATGGAGGCTGTTTTGTATCCATTCCTTTCTCCATTACCATAATTTTAGATTTTGATGCTTTTGTTGAGTGAATACTACTGTCCAAACATTGTGCAGCTAATTCCAAGGTTACCTGTTTATTTTCTGTTTCTGATGCTTTCATTGGCACTGTACATTCTTCAAGAAATGCTTCTTGTGATGAACTATAATTTGTGAAATGGGCACATTTTCTACCATTCTCTCTATCCGAAGTATTGTTATGACAAATTTCATGGATTCCATTTTCAGTTAACCCTGTCTGATAATTAGCAGCAATATCACTAGGAAATTTTATATTATTTTCTAGAAGTAGTGCTGAATTATCAGTAATATTATGTTCAATGTTTGACTTTTCACTACATGGACTTTCATATAACATGTTAGCAGATGTACAGTATTTTTCAGAACCTATGTGCTTTTTTTCTTTTGTAGTACGATTATTAGCACTTTCAATTTGTTCTGTAAGAAATTGAATCACAACAGGGACATGAGTTAGAATGGCATCAATATAAACATATCCTAACCCTCTTTAGTAAACTCTCTATTGTACTAAACTTATTTGTTCAGGATGTCACCTGAGAAGCTACAACTTTTGCTTTATATCTGAATTATATGTTTTTATTTTATATCTGAAAACCATCAGATACTGAGGCATTTTTATACATTTGAATTCTTACAGTTAAAAAGAACAAGTTTGCCTTTGAAATTTTTAAAAAGCCCAGCGCTCATGTAATAATATTTCCTTACCAAAGAGTTTTCCTCAAGGTTTTTTCAAGCATGTCTATCTGAACAAGATGCAATTTTTTTTTACTTTAGTTTCCCTGCAAAACCATTTCAACAGAACATACTAGATTTGATTTTTAAAATAAAATACATATCTTTCCAGCATATGATAAAGAATTGGAATCACATGTTCTTAGCAAAAACAATTACTTCTTTCTAGAAACATTTGAAATTACAGTCTATTTTTGGAATGGTATATACAGCCCACCTTCTTTTTCATAAGCTCCTCCATTTGGGGTAGGGGAAGGGAGGGAAAGTCCTCTATTTTTACAATGTGTTATTTTTACTTATATTGACCACCAGGAGGCAGCACATAAGCAGTTTCATTCTATTTGAAACTTGTCAATTACTAAGACACTATAGTAAGCTGTATGGCCGTGTATACCTGACAAGTCCCAAATAGAACAAAACAGGCCTTCTTGTGGTCAATATCTGAAATTACAGTATTTTTTCTTTGTTCTTAGTATTAACCATACCTTCCAACTTTATCTACTTTACTCTATTTCCCCATTTGCTTATAATATTCAGTATTTTTATTACTTATCTGAAAATTTTATGTAGCTATCAAAGAAAATGACTTCAGCAACATGTAATTAGCATATATACAGTATATTTTCAGTAGACTTTTTCAATGCAGTGAAATCATAGCTATGACCTGACATACATATGGAACTTTTAAGTTTTAAGTTTTAGAAATCAATGCACAAAGGAATGTAAATATCATACCTTCATTCTTGATTGGGATTTCAGAAAGTTCAGAGATACCAGATTCTAAATTTGTATACACTGGCATAAAACAAGTAAGAGATCCATCTCTTTGGGTGGTTCTCTCTTCCTGCCAAACCAGAGAATTGTTTAGAGCATAAATGAATTTTTTGGGCCGCCTTTTCAAACTGGAAAGTGAGCTAATATTTTTCAGGCTTGAACTTGTGAGTTGTCTGCCATCACTAGAAGCTTGACTTGAAATATTACCAAGAAGATGTCCTGAAGGAGTTTTATCCTTCCTTGAGAAATCAGAGCAACTACTTTGGAATTCTGAGAATTCTGTTAAAGTTCTGTTCTTTGTTAAGAAATAATTACTCTCTGAAAAATTTACAAAAGAAGACTGTTCACCCTCAGCATGTTTCAACAATATTGAATCATTCTTGATCAACAATGGTGAATTTTCAGGAACTGATAACTTTTCTGGAGAACTCATCTTATTATCTTGTATTGGGTTTAACATACATGATTCTAATATTTTAGGAGCAGTGCATTCTTTTTCAACAGATGATGGACTATCCTGAGAAGTTTGCTTGACCGGTAAGGTAGAAGAGGAACTAATACCCTTCAAGGTTTCTTTTTCAAGCTGTGTTATTTCAAGACCAGACAAGTCCAACTGAGACCACGGACAAATCAAAGATGATGGCATATCCTCCTTTCTGCTCACTGTAATCTGTATTTCTGGGGCATTTGTATTCAGGTTACATTTAGAAGATTTTAACTTTCTTTCATATTTTGTTACACTACTATCATTAGAAGATTTAATCATCTCATATTCTCCATCAAATTCATCATGATTCTTTTCATAAAAAACAGGTTTTTTATTCTCTTCAACTGAGTTTACTTTTTTTAAAAAAATTTCACTGCTGGCAACACACTGAGAAAAATTATTATCTATTCCACCATGATTATCTTCATCCTTTGGTGCATTTGATGGCTTTTGGTATCCATTTAGCTCACCAGGAAATGCATTCTTACCAAAAGACTCATTTAAAAAACTCTCAAGATCTGTAAATAATTGCAAAGCAACAGCATCAGAAATAATATCCTACAAAGAAACTTGGTAACAAAAAGTTATATGACAATTCAATAATAAAATCTAAATAAAAGCTTAGTAAATATTAATGTAGCTGTTTGTGTATGAAAATCTAATGTCCATATGAAACTAACTACCTGTAATGGTACGTGGGGATGAGTCTGGGAGACAGGGCAACGAGACACAGCCCAGAGAATGATAGGATAAAAGGCAGCTTAGCCTGCAGCAGGAATGTGGGTGGGGCAAGAGGCTCAGAATAGACCCTTGCTAGTTTTTGGGCTGTAAAGGGGACCAGGGGAGAGAGAAATACTTGCAGACTTGCAAGATTCTGTTAATGTAACCTTACAATAAAGTTTCCTGTCTGATCTACCTAGGAAGGCCAGTACTATCCAGAATATTATAAATAAATTATGGTTTATTTACTAAACAAAAATAAATACTGTATCCTAAACAAATAAACATTCTAATATTTGTTTAATAAATTAAAAAACCTTAAAGAACAAGTAACAAACTAAGAGTAATAAACTGCTAATAAAGAATAAATGCTCACTGTGGATTTTGCTGTCCATTTCTGCATATGAAATTTCAATTCCTGATGAAGATTGCCTATTAATATTATTGCTCCTGAGACTTTTCCCATATTTGGAAAAAAGACTGTACATGATCTAAAAACCAAAGCAATGAAAATTATTTTATACAACTTACATATCAGCTGAAAATTCTAATACAAAAAAAGGTACATCCTTTACTTACAGTATCAACTCTTTCATTATGGTTCTTTGTTCCAGGAACTGAATCATTTCCTCTGTCTGCAATTCAAACACCAATATATATTATTTGTAGTTATCTTGTGATTCATTGGTGGAAATCAATGTTTTGTGTCAAACTTGTATTTAGTGAGTCTTTGTGAGGCTTTTATTCCAAAATACAGAATATATGTATTTAATAAAATAAACTCAACAATGAAATTTTCCATAAAAATCAGTGGCACTTATATTAAACTTGCACAATGCAAACCCCTTGATTGCAATCAATAACAATGGATCCAACCATATTTATCTCTTTTAGTTACCTCTCTAGTAGACCTGTAATTGTTCAACTTATAACCAAATTTTTAAAAATACATTTGATTTCACATTTATTTATACCCAGCCTTTAATTCAGGAACTCAAGGTGATGTATACAGTGGTTCCTCCTATTTCTTTCCCACAACAGCTCTGTGAGGCAGGCTGAACTGAGAGATGGCAACTTGCCCAAAGTTATCCAGTGAGCTTAAGTGGCTGATGATGGACTAAAACTTGGATTTTCCCACTCCTTGTCCATCACAGTAATTAGTATACTATCTATACTCCTTTAACCGTATAGAAAATTAAACAAGTATATGGCTAAAAATTATCAACTGATTTCAACAATGAAGAACAGTAATTTTAATAACAGTCTATAAATTATATTAGCTACAACTACAAAAGGCCTTTCCCTCATAGCTACTCACTGTACTTACTGTTCTTTATCCTCACATGTTTTAGTGATAACCACGTTACTTTCATTACCTATTATGACTGTTGGAGAAAGTGTAGGGGGTGTTGCTAATGAACTTGACCAAGACATATCAGGATCTGCTTCTGCTCCCAAGCTCTCAGAAATGCATGTTTGTGTCTGAACCTAAAATATAGTGAACAATTGTTTATATATATATAAACATATGATGGTATTCCTATCGTTAAAATATCTTAGAATAAAATTACCTCAAAAATCTTGGGTGTTTGCAGTAAACTTTCACTTAGTGCTGAAAATATGAAAGAAGATATCTATCAGTTTTTAGAATGAGCATAAATTTATAGAGTAATACATCTTTCAGTGCAATAAACAAAGGCATTAATATTTACCATATTTATTATTTTGGGTTTCTTGTAAAACAACTGGACTGAAATATAAAGAAAAAATAGTTATTTAAATCAAAAGCACTCTTAAAAATAATTTTAATCACTATAACTTCATAAAATATAATGAATGGTGTCCATACATCTAGATAATCTAAACAAGGTATACCTTCTTAAAGTCAAAATGGATAATCTGGGAGCTCCTGATTCTATAGCGCTAATGAAACTAAGCACACAGTCCTTTGATTGGCCACTTTAATTTCTCTAAAAGGCAACAATACAGTGGGGCAAAAAAGTATTTAGTCAGCCACCAATTGTGCAAGTTCTCCCACTTAAAAAGATGAGAGAGGCCTGTAATTTTCATCATAGGTATACCTCAACTATAAAAGACAAAATGAGAAAAAAAATCCAGAAAATCACATTGTCTGATTTTTAAAGAATTTATTTGCAAATCATGGTGGAAAAT